TTTTCTAGTTAATACGTAGTAAATAATATATTATTTTACTGGGTGTCTAATGAACTGTGTTATGTATCCAGAAAATCTCTTTAATAAATGCCTTGACAGGAATATCATCATATTGAATACTCTCAATACAAAGCATATCGTATAACTACAAATCACGTAAAATCAGTTGGCAGATTAACATCTAGTTGTGAAGTAAACTATAACTACACAGGATAATTTACTTGCGTACCTTATATTGAGAATTAAACCCATAATAACGCTATACGAACATTTTTATCACCGAGTTCTCACGTACCGTAGACGATATTTAAATTTGTCTTTTCAATAACAACTACACTACAACTATTCACCTGCTCATTTTTTTCTATATGTTCGGTGACGTCATTTTTGATCAAATTAGTAAGATACCGAAGGATTCATCTACTAAACAGAGTGTATTTGCATGGTTTTATAATGTTCTATGCAATAATTTCAAACCCTGCATACACATTATGTATACTATTACTCATATTTACCCTATGCCGTTGTATAATAGTCACATCGCTAAAATACATGATCACAATCGTATCGAATTAATGAATATTTATTATTGGTTTTACGATTGGATAAACTCGCTTTTATTATATAATGTATCTTACAAACAAAACTGATAAATACTGATATAGCGGTACAGTGTGGCTCATCAGGAGTGGTAAGTGGTGAATTAGTCCACCCAGCCAGCACGAATGAAAACTCAAATAAAAAGTTTATACAATAAGACTGCATAATTATTATGAATTTTTAAATTAATTTTTAAAAGAATGAGAGAATAGAAAAATTATACTATCATACTGCATGATTGACGTATGCAATGGAACTGTAGCTATTATTAAATACAAATAAAAACACTACTGAAAACAATAAATGATGTAGGTGTGGTAGGTACGTCATAACAGTAGCGATTTGACATTTATTTAAGAGTATGGAGGGGGTAAATATTACACATTATAAAAGTGTAATAAAATTATTTGTATTATATTTTAAAATTTATATCATATTTCTTATCGAAAATCTCAGTATTACTAGCGCTTTCATTGGAACTTGTGATATACTATATCGTATCATCGTCGTATAACCATTCATATCTAAATTTGTGGTGTTAATTAATTTGTTATCAGCTATAATCAGAAGTTAACTTATTAAAATATTAATTCAAATATAATATTACCTTACCCAGATACCTACCCTGCAATAACGAGTTGCACTCAAAACCTACTATACAGCAGAGAGACTTCTCCACATCGGATAGTATGACATTACCCATTTAAAAACATATTGTGTTTTGTTTAATGCGGTTACGACGGCGTACAATTTCATCGTTGCGGTGAAAACGCGTAATATGGCATTAGCATTGTTATTTACAATTTACAATATTAAGCTTCCCAAACGCTAAAGAAAATCCATATTTATTTCTATCTATGGATATTTATTGGTAATGTAGAGGAAAACATTTTTTTATCTTGAATCATACGAATCATCGTAGTATTATTTCAAGCACATTCGATTCATATAATACAAATATTAAAATATAAGTACAGTACACATATGTAAACGATTTTTATTTTTATTTTATTTTTTTTGTGAAGTGAACGCAAAGTGGATGCATCCTGCAATGACATTATTATTATTATATTTTTTGGTGAATCCTATGTATACAACGAATTGCTTCCCGAAAATACTCTTAAATACTAAAATACTTTTATAATAATATTATCATTCTTATATGTAAGTTTTATTATTAAAATATTATAATATCGTCACAACAAAGTGCACTATAGTATTTATACATTATTATTTTGTCAAAGAAAACGAATTTTTCATTTTACATAAATCATTTTTTTTTAAAACTTATTTATTTTTCGAGGAATTTGTCAGTCATGTAGGTATTATATTAAAATTTAAAAAAAATTACCTGAAATTATAATAGTTATATCAGGTAACCACAAAAAAAAAAAATACAACAAATAGTTTTAAAATATAATTTACGAATATTTTTACTTCGTTAAATTGATATTAGGTTGGTATTATAGATACTGTATAATGTACATCGATATATACAGTATTTTTACGAAATGTATACAGACCAGAATATATTATATATATATATAATTATTATTGTTACTATTTTTTTTTTATTTTTCAGTCGTAGATACTAGTTAACGTCAGCATAATAAACGACTTACACGACACCGAACGGTTTCATATAAACACCGATATCCGGTTACCAAATAGTCGTGTAGTAGTACATGTTTGCCCATGACGGATATAAAATAAACACTCGAACTGCGAAAGTCGTAGAAAATCCGTTTCGTGCGTGACAAAATGGGTTTTTTTTTTTATCAAAACCTTTAACTCCCGAAAATCAGTCGTCGCACGTCACACGTTATTTTATATGTATTATATATGATTTGCATTGCCACACTTTCCCCTATAACTTACCCCTGTAGACACTTACCTACGAAATACATTATCATGGTATTTAAAATTGCAAATTTGATTATCTATTTTTTTTTTTAACTAACGTTTTATTAAACTGTCTATAAAAACGATCTCGTGTCCAAGAAATTTTAAAAAAAATTACTCTCATATATTGTCCCGTATAAAATAATACAAAAAAAAATTGTTAAAAAAATCTACAATTCAAAAATTAATAACAAAACACATCGGTATATGAGATTAGAACAACCAACAAAATTATAATAGTAGTTAGTTTTGGAAAACCAATATAATAATTATGTTAACCAGGGCTATAAGATATTGAGCTGGTTAGGTCATGTAATGAGATTAAAATCAATAAAAAACTATATTCTAAATTGGAAATCTAAAGAAAAGAGGCCTTAAAAAATGGTGGCTGGATAAAAATGAAAAAGATTTGGAATGTTTATGAGTAAGAAACTACAAAGAGTTCGTAATGGTAAGAGACAAATGGAAATATATGTGTGATGCACCGTTAAACAGCCTAAATGGCTTATGAAGCTGAACGAATAAAATAATATAGCAAATTATATAAATATTCAAGTACATATAATAAACATATAACATAATTAAAAATTTGGATTATCTTGTTTGTTAGATTCCAAAGTATATTTTTGGTAAACAGCTTAGGTTACTTTAAGTCACCGTGCCTTCAAGTTTCAATTCTTCGCTTTTTCTTTCTCTCTCTCTTACTTTCACTAATGTACTATACTTTTTTCACCAAGTCTCGTTTCACTCCATCTAGGGCCGTATTTGACGGAGTGTTTGAAAGGCACTTGCTCCGGGCAGCAGATGTTTGGGGGTATTGGGATGCCGGAATGCTATATGAAAAATTTAAAACTTTTTGATTCATGGTTTAGGAAAAAATGAATAAACACTTAACAATTTAGCCAATTTAGTCGTTCAATATACAGTGATCGAATTGTTGCGTGCATGCGTGTGTTACTTTTCGTGTAGTCGTGTAGTTATTACGTAATTACATTAGGTTTTTTAGATTCTGAGTGTAGCGAAAAATGTGTTGGTTTTACAATGATTTTTATTTTTTTTTATGTGAACACTGTTTCTATCAGAGAGCCTACTCCAATATATATAATGTAGAACCTTTTCTGAAAGAAAATTTTCTCAGGAGTTTTCTCATTAAATATGAAAAACCGAAAAAAAAAACGAGAAAATATACGAATTATATTAGTAAAATATGATTTTTTTTCTGTAGGAACAACCTTTTTAGCAGTAATTTTGCTCAAATTTACCATGATAGCACTTTTTCTTAAAGAAAATTTGGCTGAGGAGATACTATAAAGAAGTCAGTTTTTTATATACTGAGGAATTCTCAAAAAATGAAAAAAACAGAGAAAAAACGGGAAAATGTACGAAATGTAGGTATTAGTTGAAGAATATTTCGGCCTTTTTTTTCAGTGAACAACTTTTCTATTAGCGATTTTGTTTCGATTTACAATAACATCAATTTTTCTGAAAGGAAATCTGATTGAGAAAATATTTTAGGGATGTCATTTTTCGATTTTCTCAAGAGTTTTCCCACCAAATATGAAAAACCGGGAAACACGTAAAGAAACATGGGAAAATCAGTACAATTTTAAACAAATATTATCAAAGAAAATATATAATGCTTATTTAATTATTTTACTATAATATGGCGTAAATATTGTTGATAAAGCATCACTATCAAATAAACTCTGCTCAGAATCATTTTTAGTAAGCAACGGTTTATCGTAATATATGTAACAATGTGAAGATTTAATTTTAAAATGTTAATAAATAAAGCAACTTAATTGCTAATAGTCCAGAGAATTGATTACTTATGATTGTTATTATAGATTTATTTTTATTAGTTCATGGTAACAGTGTACTGAACTTTAATTTTGTTTTGATTCATTCGTTGAATTATGGATATTGTATAGAAGTGATGGTATTCCAATATACTTAAATAGTTTTAAGTAGTTTTAAGTATTAATGTATTATATAAAAATATTCTCATTACCCCTTTTGGGTTCTTAAAAAGAATAAATAAATAAATTAATAAAACGTTACCAATGAGATTAATAAACCTATTTTTACTCTTAAAATATTGCTATATTTAAATTAATTTTGAAATTTGTGATACACGAACAGTAGTACTCCAAACTTGAAATAAACATATTTTAGGTAAAAAGTTATAACGTGCAAGTTTGCAAAAATTTGTATTTTTTGCTTAACTTCTTTGATATTGAGTATTTTTAATTGTTTTACTGCACAGGACCTCAAAAAAAGATTTGGCATCTAAAAGTCTAAATCCGGCCCCGACTCCATCGGTCTACTGCTTCCTTGGACGTCTTTGTCGCTCTTATAGGTTTGTTGCACAGTCCTATCACCTCGTGACAATAATATTTTCAAAAGCAATGGATAATATATATATATATATATATATATATATATATATATATCTTTTACACTATAATACCGAATCGAACTCATATATAATGGAGTAAAGTTGTATTAAACGAAAATAATGTACGCGTGCGGTAAATGTGTTTGTTTTGTACTTCTGTAGGTATACCTCTGTTGGAGAAATTACACTATACTATAGGTAGTAAAACTTTGTCAACGACTGTAAAGTAAATCGAACTTTCGGTGTACCCACTCCTATATATATACCTACACTCTAACAGAATTATTCGCGAGCTATTCTCCAACACGACGATTGCCTAATTTAATAACATCGTGCCGTTGACTATATTATATATATATATACACTATATATAATGCGTTTACTCGAGAAAACACTTCGACGAACCGAAAAAGCTCTCGTAGGAATATACAGACATATTATTATAAAAGCTAAAACGAAACACGCAGGTCGGACCTCCACGTTCAAATGAAATAATATACGGACAACAAGAACAAAAGAAGATATAAATATATATTACGACAATAGGTACCACAGTTATTGGTATGAAACATTTATCTGAGCAAAAAAAATACGAGTATAATACTGTGAAAATTCACACAAATTTACGAATTGAAACGCAATCGTTGTTACAGTGTGTGGTTATAATGTACTGTAGTATAAGTATATTTTGAAATATTCGCCGTATACTTTTAGTGTTTACAATAAAAGTTTAAAAAAAGTTATTTTTTTCAAATTAACTTAATTGTATAAAGTTTAACATTTAAACATTTAAAACGGAGCAATCACATAATATTATAGCAGGTGCAGTGGTGTGCCTGAGATTATCAATATGAGAATATGCAGTAAATAGGTATTATGATGATTTATGAATAAAACGTAGACATTTCTTTTGTTATATTCGTATACCTAACTCAAGAATTGGAATTTAAAAGCTGGATTCAAAAAATCATAATTACCATACATTCAATGAATCAAGCAATCTTTTTTTCGTAATTTGGTTATAATATTTATAATATTTCGAAATATAAAATATCAAAATAACATTACTACGTAAATGAATACTCATAGTTTTAGTATTTTTAAAAGAGAGATATTATAGATATACTCCTAACAGAATTTACTATTACATACACTACTAACGGGGTTCTATCACGTATCTCCATAATTTTATAACTTTTAGATTTCGAGAGAATTAGAATTATTTTTACTATGATATATAATTTATTTTTATCTTCAATCAAACCAGTTTTAGACCGTGCTGCAACCATTGGCATCAAGGAAGATTTCTGTTATGAAAAGTCGTTTTTTAATTCCCTTAATAATATAGAGGAAATCCGGAAAAACGATGATAATCATAATTATATGGCTAAAAATTTGTATTTGTATTTTTGACAGGAAAGAATACTTTTTTTAAGGAAAATATAATATAAATTGACCAGAAAATAATTGATTTTTTTAAATTTAAAAAGCAATTTCTACTCTAAAATCAATTTATAATGCTATTTTCGGTGTATCATATAAACTATTGCACATTTTTTTTCGCTCCGAAATAGGCTAGCTGTCATTACTAGCCTGTCATGGTTAGCTTGTCATGACAAGGATCCAGTGAATATTAATTAGAAGTCGACGTGAGCAAATGTCTATACAGTAAAGATAGGGCGGAGTAGTATTATATTTCAGCTTTGAAGTTGACCGGAAGATTGTAAAAGTCAATAAGGCAGTCAAACAATACGTCTTATACCTCTATATTATATATTATTATATTTCCGAAAGTTTGAAAAATTAAAAATAAATAAATTTCGTTTATAATATTTTTGTTATTCGGGGATTACGAACTGTTAAATAATTTTTGACATTATTTTAAATTCTGAGCGAGGCAAGAAATGTATTGGTTTTATAATGATGTTTACATTTTTCCGTGAACAACTTTTTTATTAGAAATTTCGCTCTGATTTTTAAGTTTGGTATTTTTTTTGAAAAAAAATTTTCCTGGAATAATACTTTAGGGAGATCATTTTTTGATTCTCTCATCCACGAGTTTCCTTAATAAATGGCAAAAATGAGGAAAAAACGTAGGAATAACGGAAATAATTACAAAATGTATTATTATTATTAGTATTTGTTTACGCCAAACGACAATTTTTTTAATGTCGATTTTCGAATCGTAAATATTACGACTTTTTAAAACATGTACAACAGAACTCCGATCAGAATCGTTTTTCGTTAGAAAAGATTAATCGTTGCGTACAGATATACATTAAATGTTCCTCTATATCCTACCTTTCCAAATTATCACCTACCCATCGCGCAAAGTATGTCCGTTTTTTGATGATTTTTTTTCCTACACTTTTTGATCCAAATGACAAAATTCTATATGTTTTCAAAATTAAAATATTTGTATAGAAAACTATATAAAATTGACTTTAAAGTTTTCTTTCCTGAAATCAGTGATATTATAGTATTAGTGCGTTCATAGAAAAGATACGAGATGTCCAAGTATAGGTATCTTTATCCTCTCCTTATTATTGATTTTCGACGCAATGTTTTAAATTAAAATCACTTAAGTAAAAAAACGTACAATTTCACGATTTCATTATTTAATAAAAACACGGACGACGTTTTCTACCAGAAAAAATGATTTTATTGAAAAATCATATGATACTTTTTTGTTGCTTTATTGATTTACTTTTTCCAGTATTATCGCCAAAAACTTTTGAGCTTTTAAAGAATTTTAATTTTTGGGAATTTTTTTGCTGTAATTTGGTTATAAATATTTGAAAAAGACTTGAAACTTGGTAGTATTGGACTTACCAAGACGTGGTAAAATTTCCAAAATCATCGAATTTTTTTTTTTTTAAAAAGCGTTTTGAAATCAAATTTTAACGAAAATAGCAAAAAAACTACAATACTTCAAATTATGTATTACCGAACTGCGCTCGGAATCGTCTTTCGTCAAGCAACGATTTACTGTTGCTTACAGATATAAATGAAATAATCTTATGTATCCTACCTTTCCACCTTTTCACCTACAACAGTGGCCACTCCTACCCCCAGTATCAGCTCTTTTCTTATATTGTAATTATGCTAAGTCGTTTTAACGAAATAACAGAATTCTGTCGAGGTCCTCGTATAATATACTAATTGCAGCGGGCCATCTACGGAATACAAATGGTCTGATTATATTATATTTTTTTTCTGGCCGTTAAAAGTGGCATATAATAATAACTTTATTAATCCGATAATGTATATATAATTTTAACATTTATTTACTTTTTGAGAATATTTTATTTTTAAATAAATGATCACAATACTATTACTATCTTTTGTTGTCATTTAAACATAAAAACGAAAATTGGATATAATTTCAAACACACAGATAGATTTTTTGTATCATGAACCAGCAATTTTTTCAGAGGATTTTAAGCGAATTTGTTTTTTTAATCATTGTGGAGTCGTTTAATAAACTTTATTTTAAAACCACTTTACATTATTTACTCAAACTCCATATACATTAAATAAATATATACTTTTGTTTTTTATATAAGTACTCCATTTTTGAATACGGATTCGAATAAAGAATATGTTTCTAGAAATGTTGATATTTGTAACACTAATATCAGATTTACCATTTATGATTTATAACTGTTTAGTAAAGTTTAGACCGAAGGAGTAGGGAAGAGTAATATTGTATATCTATTTTTAAATGACCAATCAATAATTTTCCCTATTCATCTAAACTTAAAACGGTTATAATTCATAAACGGAACATTTGATATTAGTGCTACGAATTTTTTGAAAAATATTTTCTATATTGTTCAAAAAGAGGGATTACTATTTGAAACACAAAAGTAGTTACACTTATTTAGGATCATGGAGAAAATTTAAAAATGATTTAAAAAAAAAACCTTCAACGTTGTCACAATGATAAAATTTTGGTGTTTCATCCGTATATTCATCCATGCAAAACATGTCAGTAAAGCTCCGTTAAGCATTAAATAGTTTTAAAAAAAATGGATGATATGGTATGTAATAATGGACTAAAGGAGTGAAATAATTACTATTAAATACCACACGATGGTGCTTTATGCTCGGATTTAATTCGTTTACATCCGGTTTACAATAGTTTATAAACGGTTATGATCCAATTCATTTACTTATTAGGATTGCGCATCGTCGATAAATAATTTTTGTCGTCGTTTTGGTCGCGACGGTTGTAACTATTACTATAATAAACTTATTAAACTATAACTGAAATACATTCTATAACGATATAAATTAACCAAGACGGCCTTTATAAGTCTACGATTCCGCTTTTTTCTCTATCGAATACCGCATATAATATTATACATAAACCTTGATTATAAATTAATTCATATGTATAAAATTAAATAAAGTTCATGAACTTAGTTTATCATTAATATTTTTTTGTTTTGCTGAGTTCATTAAAAGTCAATTGTACTGTTTATACTGTTTTATTGACTAAGCTCAGTGACTTTATTAAATATCATATTATTGATAGGAAGTATATACCCTACTTACTACTAGAATAATCTCAAGAAGCTGTCTCGGTTTAGTTTCCACATTATGCTCTGCATTTCTAATGAGCAATATAACAAAATTATACGTTACCTATACCTACTTAATAATTTAAATTTTGGTTTATTGGGTTAATGATAACAACATTATTTAGTAATTCAAGTATTTACTGACAAAAAATCATTCAATTAAGAGACTTCACTTGTCCAACCAAATTTAATCCCATTTTATTGTTATTTAAAATTCTTTTTACATAAATCTACTTATTTTAAGAAAATTTCGACTTGTGGGCCATTTAAAATATTTTTTAATAACAATGAAATTTATTGTAATAAAAATAACCCTTATTCTTTCATTTTTCTGAAAGTTTTGGTTTTGGACTAGTCGGGATTTTCAAACGGCTGTTTCTAATATAAACTTAGTTCAAAACAAGTAAAATTGATTAGAATACGATAATAATAATAATAATTTATTGTCAAAAATGTTACAAAGAAACAATTTAAAAGAAATGTTTAATTTTTGACGCTACCTCAAACGCATAGCTTGTTTGCATGTACAGTAGTTCAATACAACACCAACTAATTATATTAATAAGATTTCAAAATATAAGAACAAAAATAAGACAAATTACCGAATAATAAAGTTAAAACATAGTAAATTTAAGTATTTTTTAAAAAAATATTCATTATGATATAATTTTAAATTAGTATTAAGTTTAATATATAAACAAACATCGAAATTTAAAACCGTTTTCCTACATAAT